TCTGAGAGGAAGAAGAAGAAGAAGAATCCTTGTTTGCCCACTGAGCAATTTGCCCACAACGGTCGGGAATCAAACATGTTCATCTCTGAGTAGTTGCCAAATAATTTCTTTTTTTTTACAAATTTGTGACAACCTTTCTCTGGGTGGATGATAACATGCACAGTTAGGGACCAGTGGAAATGAAAACAATAAAAGGTCAAAGGTTACTAGGTCCAAACTGAATGTGTAATAACTGGCACTGAGGGAACCTATCATGGCTTTGGACATTATACAAAGGGTTTGTTCAACAATGGGGGGCAAAGTATTAAAAAACATCCATAAATGAAATATAGAATCACTGAAGAAAAATTATATTTTCTCAGATATTTGACAACTGAGGCGATTATCTTTTTCTATTATAAAATGTTTCATTTTTGTAGGAAAATATTCTGCATCGGGTTTAAAAAAAAGAGTTCATATAAAATGATCTGTAATAAAAAAAAACATTGATTAATGAATGAATGATGTTTGAATGACTCGTCTCTTTGCTTTAGGTGCGGCAGCACGGCGCCATTAAGGATATAGTGGACCTGTTTAACAGCGAAAACACAGAAGTGGCCCGTTATGCAACGGGCGCTGCTCGCAACCTCATCTATGAGAACAACGACAACAAGAATGCCCTGATTGAACTCAACGGCATCGCTGCGCTTAACGAGGCGCTAAAAGAGAATGATGATGAGCTTTACAAAAACATCACAGGTAAAAGGATCCAGACTGTGAATATTAATCAGGTTATTATCCTCATACTTTCTGAGCTCAGTGCTTTGACTAAAACTAGGTCTAACTAAACTTGTTTTTTATTTTAAACTCAACATAATTAATGAAAAATAATTCAGTAGCTTATGAACAAACATTAGTAAAAAAAAGACTATACTAATTATGACTTTGACTGTTTCTGTTAATTTGATTGGTTTAGGCTGACTACAGTGTCAGCAGATAAATTGCTGCTTTTCAAGTAAAAAGTGTGTTGATAGAAATAAAGTTAAATAAGAGTAATTGGGAGCCAATGTCACTCCCTTACTCAGCTTGACATAAACTGGTTTTCACAAAGTTCTCCATGTGGACGTATGACATTTTCTCTAACATAAGCATTCATCATTTAAACATTCTGTAATAAATGTCTGGTATCTGCTTAGA